ATATATCTATTAACCGGTTTAATCACAATTAAATATACTACTCATAGTTTTTATTAAATATAAATGGTCCCACATGTCCTAGTTAGTCATATATTTAATCTAGTTTACTCCAATAATTATTTCACAATTTATTTCGTTGTTTAGTTAATTATTTACTAAATATGTACAAATTGGCCCAATTACAATTAAATCAATTAAAAATAGTTAAAAATATTATTTTTCAATTCTGGTTGGTCCGAATATGTATATTTATACTAGGTATTTAATTTATATTTTTTCCAGATTTTATTTATTTCATTTACTATTTTATTTTTAATTTTTATTGAAAATGGGCCGAACTGGCCCATTAAACTAACCCGGCCCAAGAAGACTGGGTTGTCTTTCTCCCCATTCTTCTCCAGGTCGTTATTCCGGCGACCGGAAAATTAAGGAAACTTCGGCGAGCTATAACTTGACTTACAGGTAACGGATTTCGACGATTCAAGTTGCAAAATGATCCTGACGGCAAGACGAAGCTCCGCCACCCCTATCTACGGCAAAATATCCGCTTTTGCTGAAGACCCGTTTCCTCGACTTGTAACTCCGGCGAGCTCTAGGATGCTCCGGTGACTATGAATCGGTCTAGAATTTATTGAGAAGTATTCCTAGACCTCTCACGACCCTCCTATCTTGTTTATAAGAAATTTCTTACGTAAATATATATATGTGTGTATTAGTGTATATCTCCGGCGACCTATATGTATATATATGTATATAGGTGTTCTCACTCGGTTTTTTTCGGTTTGTAGTGATTTAGAGTGGAAAGATATCTTTATTTATAGCTGTAGAACGAGCCTTGTGAGTTGTGTGAGTTATGTGAATTATTGTGAATTATTTTTATAATACATATTCATAATTCATAATGTATATACATTATATGGTAGGTGTGAGATCATGAGGTTGGTTCCTAGCATGTGAAGATGTTTTCTGGATCTTGATGAGTATCATTGTTAATATTTTCTTATCAAACTACATATTAATACTTTAATAGATGTATGTGTTTTCTATGTATATATATTATTTATATATATTTTGTATATGATTTTTATATCTTACCAAAATACACATTAATACTTTAATATGTGTATCATGTGTGTGTTATATATATTATACTCCGTATATGATTTTTATTTCATCTTATATCATTATGTTTGGGACATACTCTGTAATGTACTGTTTCTACATTTTCGGTCTAGACCAAATCAGTCCTGTAGTACAAAATGTCCATTTATAATTTTTAACACTTTTGCTAACAGTGTTGGTGTTTATAAAGTTACTTATAATATTTTAACATTTATTTTCATTTAATTTGCCAGATATATTTTATCTGGTTTATTTTTATTTTATTTTTGTTTAAATTTTTTTGGGGTATCACAGCTAGAGTTGAGAAGAAAGAACGCCGTCCAAAGCTTCATTCTGTTGGAGATGGATGTATTTATCAAATCCGTAAAAAACTAAAATTATTTGATAAGAGAATATATGATAGATGATGAGTTGCAGAGAGAAAAGAGAATGACGATATGAAGGAGACAAGGGAGATGCAATTAGATGAAGGAGGTACGAGTGAATGGAGATGCAAGTGAAGGAGAGAAAGGAAGAGAAGATGCGTGACAACTAGAAGGGTAGGTGGCGGATGATTAAAATTAAGATGAGTATAAACTAAAAGAAACTCCTATTTTGAGGATAAAATAACATAAAGTCCCATTTTGGTATTAATCTTACAATTTAGTCCTATTTGGATCAATATCTTTTTATTAAATAATAAATAATCATTGTATAACTAAATACGAAGTTTTTCCCTCAATATTACTAAATTCAAGCTAATTTCCAAAAAAGTGATCACATTTATATTTAGACAAAAATGTGACTAAGATGCTTATTAATGTCACTGCACCACTTCCATGTCACTGTTGCCACCATCATCCACGTCACTGCCGTTGTGTCACTGCCATTGTGTCATTGCCGCCGCCATTGCTCGTGTCACCGCCACCACTACCACCGATCATAGTGACACCTCCACACCGGAAACCACCACTGTCAACCACTGTCGGCTCCTGCTACCCCGGTCACTGTCGTCAGTCGGGCACAGTGACACCTCTGCCGGCCACAACCAGAGCTGGAAACCACCACCGTCCACCACCGCCAGCTCCACTCCAACACCAACACCAACCTCTCTCCCGCTTACCCCAGCCCCCAACCTCACTTCCACCGCTGGCACCTGCTACCCTGGCCACCACCAACAGTCTGTCGCCACCGCCGCCCCTCCGTCCCACCGCCGTTCCCCATGCCTATTGCCCCTTCCCCTGCCCTAACCCGACCGATCCTTCCACTGTGAAGCTACTGCCCGAAAACCCATGCGGCCATGCCCCGCCGTCACTACCCACAGGCCACGACCCTTGTCCTTTCCTTGCCCAGCCAGACCCTAGACTCACCTCCGCCGCCCGCAGCGGCCCCAATTATAGTCGTCGCCGATCTAACAGAAATGGAGAAGAGTAAGAATACGAGCAACAGGTTGCGACTTGAAGGCAGGCAGAGGTGACGACATGCGGAGACGACGTCTGGTGCGCTGAAGTAGGAGGCGGCAACCTCCTCTGATTACAAATGAGGCGGGGAAGCTCCTAGAGATGCGAGGTTGAGGCTCGCATATGCAAGGATTGAGATCGATCGCAGAGTCCGCTGGGGAAAGGAAGAGTAGCGGGCTGGGTGGTATTGGGCCGGAGTGAAGTCATAAATTATCTTTTCAAAAACTGGTGATATACTCCCTCCGTTTTTTAAACAAGTTCCCACTTTTCCTTTTGGATAGTTCACAAATTAAGTTCCCCTTTCCTTAATTGGCAAATTAACTACATCAAAACAGTGCAAAACAGTGCTAAACAGTGTCCAAACAGTGTCAAACAGTGTCCAAACAGTGCCCCAACAGTGTCAAAACAGTAAAGTTTACCCTCAGTAATTTTTTTCCCTTAAAAACTGTGAAAAGCAATGGGGAACTTGTTTTAGAAACGGAGAGAGTATTTGTCTATTGAAAGTCTACTAATCATTTTTGGGCCATTCTTTCACTAAATAAACAAAACATGTATTTATGATGTTTTAACTTATAATTATTTCAGTGACAGATCAGTAGATTAGACTAGACCCAAACCATTCAGATCAAACCTCAATAGTTATTGATAGATTATATATCTAGAGAGAAGTGAGAGCTAGAGAGAGAAGTGGTATTATTGCTTTGTATTAATGAATTGTGAACCCTTACAACTACTCCCAGAGGGAGTATTTATAGGAAAAAATAGGGCTGGGCTCCCAAGTCTTGGGCTTGGGAGGCCCATTTACAACAGGGCCTCTAATGGGCCGAATACAAAGTGTACAGAGATGACTAAGTATAAAATCCTGTTCTAGAGGCTATCTATGGCCGACGAGGGCATGGCCGATGAGGTCACCTGGTTCTCCTGACTTCTGGATCATATTCTGAGTAGACTTCTTTCTGGCCGATGGAGATCATCCGATCGACGGGGGTCCAGCCAGGTGATCGTGGTACCTTCTGTTCTTCTGAGTATGTGGGTCATGGGGTCTGGACCCATATACTCCATCAGTTATAAATTACACAGAGACAAAACCAAACTTATTCAGACCAGATCAGATTAAACCAAAAAATTTCAAACCAAGTAAAAACATCTATAATACTTCATATGTTTTACATCTTTAATACTAGTATGTTTTTATGAAAAATTGGTTGTAAATGGGACTAAAAAAGTCCAGATATGCTCACATGGAAGTTCTTTTGTTCTTGTTCTTAAATAGGACCACATTTCCGTAGTATTCCTATTTCACCCTTAATTATTTGTCTTCTCCACTCAAGTTCCAAGACCCCTATTCTTTTTCTCTTCGTTTTCTATTTGCTTTGCAGGTAAGTGTTCAACGACTCCCAGGCAACGGACGACAAAGTCATGGATGACGATGGGATGATGAATGGAAAGCAATCGGAAAATTCCATGAACGGTGGTGAGGTGTTGCACCCAGGATGACTGCCAAATTCTGACAGAACAGGTTCTTGGTTCATCTTTTCGTCGCAGGAATACCAGAATAGAGCTCAGAGGTCTGTGTGTTATTTGGTTGTTAACAAATTCCAAAGTTAATCCGAAAATGCCATCAAAATGGCATTCTTACACTTCAAAAATTCCATATTTTGTTGTGAAAATGCCATTTGGATGGCATTATGGATTAATGTTTGGCATTTTGATAAAAATGTTGGCATAAGCAACGAGATCTGTCAGATCTACATCGGCGAAGGTTAGATCTCTAACGGCGGAGGTCGGATCTAATCTGGCGGCGGCCAAATCTGCAAGGCCGGCAGCCAGGGGAGGCCAGATATGCTCAGATCTATGGCGGCGGCAGAAGAATCTGCGTCGACAACGGCCAGATCCGCAGCGGCAGTGACCAGATCTGCACCGGCGACCAGTTCGACAGTGGTGGCGGTGGCCGGCGGCTACCGGAGACCGGGGCGGCATGGTGTTTGTCGGCTGCAGTAAGTTAGCTTGAGGGTATATATGTCCAGATACAAATATTAACTCTTATTTGGGAAAATTTTAAACTTTGGTTCTATTTTAGCAATTAAAGATTTGTTTACTCCTATTTATTTAAATACCTCATGTTTTTATTTATTGCAACAATTTGATTTTGACTCTTTCTTAACACACCCATTAAAAAACATCCATATTTAATTAGTTATTCGTAATTTTATAAAAGAGTGTTATTTGAAAATTAAGATTGTGGAAAGTAGCAATATTTTTTATAACATACTTTGGAATTGTATCAGAATCATTTTTTCAGAAATTGTTTCCTTCCAACTTCTAAAATTGCTTCTAACAACAATTTGAAACATTCAAAAGTACTTCTGCACTTTTACCCAAACACTCTAATATTTATTTCTATTCTTTAAAGAGTAAATGGAAATATGGAATTTTCAGAAGTAGATTCAGATTCAAACACAAGCTCAAGACGATAAAAATGTGGTGGTCAAATAATTAGAATACGCAAACAGTACAATAGTGGAAGTGCTGTAATGAACAAATGCAGACAATTATATGATGGATCCAAAACATTTGTATGAAAGGGACAAGGGAAGATATATAAGAAAAATGTGAAAACCTGGAAATAAAATTTCAATCCTAGAAGAAGATGGAAGAAAGAATAAGAACTGAACCCATTTCCCCGTATGAAAGAGCCGCCAGCGACCATGGCGGGGCTAATATATATGGCTTGTCAATAAATAAATAGTAAGATGAATTGATTCCTGATTCCTAATCGATCATCAGACGGGTGTATCGGCGGCGGCGGCGGCGGCGGAAATAGAGGATGAGCGGAGGACGTCCATGGCCTCGGCAACTTTCTTCTTGAGAGCCTCGGGAGACTCGATGAGGTGGAGCACCTCCGTCTGGTCCATCTCCAGCAGCATCCCCGTCACTTTCCCCACGTTCTCATGCTCCAATCGTTCCACTAGCGGAAACAACTGTTCTCCCAGCAACTGATCCACGCCCAAAAAAAGCAACCAATTAAACACCAAATCATTTAAGAGATAGCTAGTGAGACTATGATGAGATACTAGCAATCATATGCATTTTAATGTAGTAACTTGTTATACTTGTCGAGATTCAAACACAAAACTTACACCTTATTGCACCTAATATCTATCAGTTCAACTATGTCCATCGCTCAAAAATTGAGAATAAGGATAGGCCAGTGTAAATGTGTTTTAGTTGTTTCACTTTTTCTACGTATTACCGATTTTTAATTTTTTTAAAAACTTTTTTCGAACACCATCAAGTTTTACCTTTAATCTTTTTTTCCCTAAAATCAATTTATCAAATGTGCAAAATTGCAAAGACTCACTAAAAAGTGGTCCGTAAGCAATAATGTAGTTATCTTAATTAACATGCTCAATGTACACGAAGTATTTACCTTTTCGGGTGATATTTGTGGATTGAGATCCTCTGCCTTATGGCGGAGTACCTTACCAAAATAGAGGACATGGATTAAAATAGAGGCATCGAGATTTGTGCCCAAAATGGACCCACTCATTTTATACCATTGATTTTTTTATCTGATGGTTCAAAATTGTATGACAACTTCCTTGTGTACCTAAGTAAGGCAGAGGAACTGGATCCGATATTTCTACGAATATCCTAAACAACTAAAATGGTACTTCTATACAATTGTTCAAATCAAAATTTGGCAGTTAATTAATTATTCAAAATTAATTTCACATACTCTGCACTTCATTGCTATATGTATTATTCATATGTTAATTTAGTATACATTTTATAATTATATATTTTCAAATATTTAGGATCAAACACTTTTCAAGAAGATAATAAAAGTCAAATTGAAAATTTAATTGTGGAACCGAGGAAGTATTTCTCATATGAAAATATTATTGAATGCTTCATTTAATATATTATATTTAAATGTTAATTTATTAAAATATATTCATCGACTTTATAACCATGAAAAACAAACTGTGAATTTAATTGTGAAGTAGAGGGACTCTTTCAAACCATGAAAAGTTTTGTGCCTTTTAAGAAATATAAGATGCATTTAATATTGAATCTCAATAATGAAAATGTGTAGTTTTGTAATTCTTCTTTTTTATATATATTTGCATTTTCTAAAACGCCAATTTAGACACGGTTTTACTTTGTAAATTTTGCACTCGAAAAATTAGTTCAATAAAGATCCAGTTTAGTTTACATTTTCGATTTATCAACCTAATCATCCAATTTTTCCCTCAAACAGTGCACTTTTAATTTCACGCACTGAGTTACGTACGTAATAAACCAAACAAGGCTCAAGTTCTATTATTGAATTTGCACATTTTGTTTCAACAACATCTAAACTTTATTTCCAAAATTATATCTATATCATTTTGTTTAAATGTTTTTGTTATCCTTGAGCTGATTCAATTAGATTCTCAATATCTAACAATTTCAATCAATTTTGAACCTACGCTGTGAATTTAACCACATACCATGCGCTGGTGATCTGGGGAAGCGGATGCCAAAGTGGAAGCAAGTGTTGGAGTGTGAATAGGTGGTAGCTGAACGTCCAAAGCAGCAGCTGCAGGTGTAACTCCAGAAGGGCTATTTGCTGTGTTGTATCTGCCAATACCTTGGCTCGGATTCCGCTGCATCCACTGCTCCAGGCTCGGAGGTCACACATTCGAAACACATTTCAGATATCGATAGATTTATTAGTTACATGACGAAAGATACATGTGTACCTGCTGAGAATTATTATGTCCGCTACCACCCCTCCGACGTTGTGTAGCTGGTGACTGTCCTTGACGATGAAGTTGATGATGATATGTAAACATGTAGTTGGGAGAGCGCATTCCGGGAACCATCGGCTGCTGAAACCCGTACCCCGTAGCCTGAGGCGGTAGGCCTTGCCCGAAATAGAGCTGCTGCTGATGGGGAGCAATCCTTGGGTGAAACCCCCCAGCCAATGGTGGAGGCGCCATTGGTCTCATCTCAGCAAAATGTGCCTGCCAATGCAATCAATATATACCTACCTCAGCAATTAGTTATGACCTTCGTTCTTAAATAAATGTAACATGTTCGAGATAAGAATCACCTGAAGCCAAGCCTTCCTTTCATCTTTGCGCTGGGCAATTGCAACATATAATGGCTTTCGTTCAACCAACCTCCCATTCATTGCATCCATCTGAATTTAAAAATTAAAACTTTATGATCATGTGTGGGTATGACATAATCAACTACATAATCACATAATGTGATGAGTATTACGTACAAGATTTTATTATTTTGTTTGGTAATTGGTATGTTGTTTACTTATTTGAAGTTATGCTACCCTTTGAAGTTATTTAAAGGGCATTACAAATGTGCTACCCTTTAAGTAATGTAATGTAATACCACATCACAAATGTACAGAGTATGTAATAAATTCCCAATTAATTAGAATGAAACTACTCAAAATTCTTCTCAATTGCCATTTTGAAATGTCTCAAAAAATTATTCTTTTACATTTACATTTTGAAACTACTCAAAGTTTTGTGTGGCTAACATTCATTTACATTTTTCTTACTCAACCACAACCATACATTTCCACTTTATTTCAATTTTTCTTAATAAGCATGAAAAGTCAAACTGGTAAATTATTCTTTGGAACGGAGGTAGTATTCTATTTGGGCCGCTTTTCTACTCAATAAGCATTTAGTTTATGTGCCCCAATGATTTTTTTTAACATTTAACTTTTATCATTTCATTTTTTTTACCTTTTGACATTAAAAAAAAACTGAACCCAAGTCATAATAATCCTACATCATACTGAAACAAAGAAAATTTGAAATTTAATACATGTAAAAATAAAATATTACAATTAATAAAAATAAAATATTCATAATTTTCTTATTATTAGAATAACGAAAAAGAAAAAAATTACATTTTTTTTAATTTTAAAAAAACTAATAAATAGTTAGAACTTTAATATTTTACAAAAGTAAAAACTTACATAAATTTCTAATTAAGATGTAAAATTCGAGAAGTAGAGATTGTTGAAGTATAAATTTTTTAAAAAAGTCCACTAAGATGAATATAAATAATATTTGAGTTTAATTTATTTTAAAAACATATGATAAAGCTTGAAATTTGAAATACTAAAAGTTGAAGAATAAAAAATTTAAATACCGAAAAAAAAAATCAATAAACATTATAAAAATTAATTATATTGAGACAATACTCAATTTAAACCAAATACTCAATTTAACCGAAATAGAATACTAAAAAATTTAAGGTACTTTTTTATAAAAATAAAAATAAAATATTGAAGGAAAAGGGGGATCCGTGATGTAATGTTGGCGACCGACAATATTTTTCATATGATAATTACATATTTGAATGCCACTGGAAACGATAGTTTTAGTCTAAAAATAATATTTAAATTACATAACTATATATTTATGTAAGAAAGTAATACTGTAGTGATAATTTCATTGTAATAATGCGATCACTTAAGCAGCCACAGATTGATACACTCCCTGCATCTCTAATTGTTCTTCCATAGTACAAATGACACAAATTATTAAGAAAGTGGGTATTATGTGGTGGAAAGTTGTGCAAGTGAGAGAGAAATGTGTAAGAAATGTTGTTAAACACAAATTCTTTATCAAAAAGAAAAGTGAAAGTTCTTTTAGGACAAATGAAAAATGAAAGTTGGAAGTTCTTTCAGTGACGGAGGGAGCGTAATGTAAGAGCAAACATAGTATAGAAAAAGAATACATACACTTTTACATACACGTTTTTGCTCATATTTAGTGAATTCTCTCAACATAGTAATGGAATACATACACGTTTAATACTATTATACGTAGTAATAAACTTTTGATTACATTATGGCGACAAGTAAAACACAAATTCTATAGTGCTCTCAATGTAGTGTATCTTGTCCATATAAACTAATTAAAATTTTAAATTGAATCATTTAAACATAATAAATGAATGAGAAAACAATGACTGGAATAATCAAATGCATGATAGGTAGGATTTTTTTCAAATTTTTGATAAGCTAGAATTCACCTAACTAAAATCATGGGACAAATTATGGAACAATATTAGATAAATTCGTATTTTTCATTTCACCACACATTTAGGATGTTTTTACTATAATTTGTTGGTCTGGTCTGGTCTGGTTTAGTCTGGTCTGTCTGGTCTGGTCTGAAATTTTGTTTTTTATATTTTTGCATAAAGATTTTATTTTTTATATATATTACATTCCATAAATAATTTTATTTTATTCATTTATAATTAAAAATAATATTATCCCTTCCAAATTATCAAAAATTGTTATCGTTTTAATTGGATTGATTTCAATCCCAGGCCGAAGCAGATTATACAAATACAGAACAATAATAAAATAGTACAAGTATTAATAATAATATCAACAATAACAATACTACTACTAGTAATAATAATAATAGTAATAATAGTAATAGTAGTAGTAATAGTAGTAATAGTACTAATAATAATAATAATAATAACAACAACAACAACAACAATAATAATAATAATAATAATAATAATAATAATAATATTAATAATAATAATAATAATAATAATAATAATAACAATAATAATAACAATAACAACAACAAGAACAACTACAATAACAATAACAATAACAACAACAACAACAATAATAATAATAATAATAATAATAATAAAATATGGTCTGATCTGGTCTAGTCTGGTCTGTTTTAGTCTGGTATGGTTTGGTCTGGTCTGTTTTGGTTTGGTTTGGTCTGATCTGGGACGAATTACGGTCCAAGTAAAAACAACCTTACTTTCCCTTACACCAAAAGTCCTTATAAAGAATTAAGGCGGGTTCATCATAAATGATAAATCTTACAGCTCTTGCAGCTTCTTCCGGGCTAGAAAAGGCAACAAAGCCAGCACCTTTGCTGGTTCCTTGTGGATCAAGCATCACCTAATTATGTATACAGTTTTAAATTAATGAGAGTGAAGGCAGTTCTATGCAATGTTCTTCTATTATATTCAAGATGTTGATTCGAGTACCTTGCAAGATGATACTGTCCCAAACTCAGAAAACAACTCTTTCAGCTTTTCATCATTTATGCTGTCATCAAGATTTTTCAAATACAGGTTAGAATGCTTTAATTTTTCAAACCTACTAGCTCTTTCTTGCTCAAATTTTGATCTCAACTCTGCCTCCCTTTCAGATTTCTTCTGAGCCCTACTCACATACAACACATTGTCATTCAAGGAACTCCCATTCAATTCTTTGACTGCAGAAGCAGCATCTTCTGGCTTTTCGAAGTTAACAAACCCAAAGCACTTGGATTTACCATTTGCACCCTTCATAACAAGGGAGCTGGTGATAGGACCAAACTTGTGAAAAATATTATACAGGTCCTCATCAGAAGTTGTTTCAGCAAGGTTTTTCACATAAACATTAGTGAACTTCTCTTCCCCATTTGCCCCGCTCCTTTCTTGACGACGAATGAAGTGGCCAACATAAACCTGTTTATCATTAAGCAGCATGCCATTCAGCCCCTTAATTGCAGAGTTTGCAGCCTCATCAGAATCAAACTGTACAAATCCGTGCCCTTTAGATTTACCACTGCTGTCAACAGCCACCTTGCAGGAAAGAACAGGTCCAAAGGCAGCAAATGTCTCATACAAAGCTTTGTTGTCAATGGATGGCTCCAAGTTCTTTATGTAAACGTTTGCATATCCAGTTTTACGGATACTAGGATCTCTGTGAGAAAACATAATCCTCATGGGTTTCCCTTTTAAGGGTGTAAAGTTCAAAACATCCCTTGCACTAGCAGCTGCAACATGCAAATCATCATAAACTGATTAGGGCATGATCCCATCGTCCCAAAGACCAAATTACAGCATGTTCAATATACTTGATGGAATGAGTCATATTTTAATAAAAACACAAGTGTTTGGAGAACTTTTAATAAGTTTAAGTAGAGTTTTCGAAATAAGAACACTCTTTCCTGAAAGAGTCCGTAGTCTATGATGGAATTTCTAAATGGATCTATAGATCAAATCATACTAGATTGAATAAGAAAAGGTTAACTACTCTAACTCAAGACAGTAAAACTCATTAATTTTCTCAACTCTTAGAACTTGTATGATGAGGCTGATATCGGTTGAATATATTGAGGTAGATGAAATGTGGTTGAAATTACTAATGTATTGAAAATAATGTGGTTGAAGTGAATGATATCTTCGAGGTATCATACCTAGTTCACATGGATCAAATACAATATTGCAATTGAATAACATAAACATAAATAGATGATTAATTGATGACTTGTACCAATGAAATGAATGACAGGTATACAACAATCTTAGTATTTTGATGGGTGTCATAGTGCTCACCAAGTTAGAATTGTGACTTCAAAACAAATCCTATCAAATTAACGGAAAAGCCTTTAACCCTTAGAAAAATTAAGAGATATTTTGACTTTGCACTCTGCTTTTTGAGTAATATTGAGTTTTCCACTCCAAAACCCGATACTTCATATTACCCAAATAGTGAGGTTCAAAGTCAAAATTTCGGTGTAATCAAATTTAGTGCTCCAAACACAAAATTTAGTTTTTTGTAAGGATTGTGATCGATTACAAAAAATATGTTACTTGTTGGACACTCACTCTTGCATTGCTTGATCTTATAAAAGGTTACTTTAGGCACTTAAAGTATGTTTGGATTTGTTTCTTAAAACTATTTCTATTCTTTCGTGACAGGAACCAAATATTGGATAGAATTGTCGAAGTACTTCTAAGTGATTCAAATTACTCTTAAAATATTAGTTTAAAAAGTGATTCTGAATATGCGTTCGATTATATATAAAATAAAAAATCTACATGTAAAATCATACGTTACTCCATCCATCGTTCAACTTAAACGTATAAGCCTACGCGCTCTGTTTTTCTGAACAGTCGAAAAAACAGAGCATGCATAAACAGAGCACGATCATCTCATAAGCCATCAGAACGCTTACCATCTTGCGGGGTGCCGAAATTGACGTACGCATAGCCGAGAGATGATCGCCTGGACTGATCCCTACAAACCCTAACCGACACCACTTGCGCCACCTGGTTGAACAGATCGTACAGATGATCTTCCTCAACCGAGGCATCCAGATCGCCCACGTAGAGCGACGAGTTCGTGGGCCCTCCCATTGTAACCGCGCCCGAAGACGGGGCCGGCGACGGTGCTCGCGCCGCCGCAACAGCGGAACTGGTCCCTACCAGCGCCGCAGCCGCCGTGTGCGCCGCCATTGCAATGCCGATCGATGAGGAATGAGAAATTGAAAAAAACAAAAATGAATCTAGCGATCAGGCGAAGGATAGATATATCGGAGTGTATGTATAGGTGAGGCGAAGCTTTTGTGTGATAGAAGAGAACGTCCGATGCGGCGGAGACAAAAGAGAACGGGGCGTTAAACGCGTGTGTGTATATATGGAAACATTTAACGTATATATTCTTTTATTTATTGGAAATTAATGGAGAAGAAGAAATTGAACCGGGTTTGTGGGACTGACGTGAACCGGTTCTTCGAACGCACGTGCGCTGATACTGGTGACGTGGCAGTGGACAAATTTGTTCTTTTTTCGTTACGCTAGTTGCTAATACGAGGTACTTCCGACGGTTTAGATAAAAGATGAACATTAATTAAGCAATTAATTAAAGGGGTTTTGACATGAATATTAATTTTGAACAAAAAAGTGATCATTCTTTTTATTTTCCAAAAATGTAACTAATAAGCATTTAATTTACTAAATTACCCTTCTAACTATTTCATACTAGTGAAGCTTCTAACCATTTCATACTAGTGAAGCTTAGCACCACACAATGCTTCGGGAGGCTAGCCATAGCAAAGCCCTAATAATGCACGTAACATTACATTACATAACAATTAAGCCCCAACAATGAGTGCTTCTTTGTTTTTAATATTATTTTTTGAAAATACCTAAATACTTAAAGTATACAAAAATTTGTGTGAAACTTTAAAATGTCTTTTAAATCATTTCAAAGTGTCTATTTTTTGGCAAAGTGATTTGTGTGATTAACTATAATGTGATTTTTTTAAGAATGATCAACTATAAGTGACTCCATCGACTAGGGACATATTATCTAAGTTACTATATTAATGACCACCGCTCCAATGACTATCGCTCAGTTATTGTCGCTCAATTAATTACTCTCTCAGTTACCATCGTTCCAGTTACTACCGTTTCAGTAACCACTGTTTTAGTTACTACCACCGGTCAGTGACCAGTGCCAAAGTGACTAACTTTACGATTATATCCATATATATACAGTGACAGTTACATGTCTATAGTGACAATTACACGTTATAGTGACAATTACATAGTTACATGCCTACCAAAGTGATTAACTTTACGATTATATCCATATATATATACAATAAAGTTACATGCCTATAATGACAATCACACAATTACATGTTACAGTGACAATTACATAGTTACATTATTAAAGTGACAGTTACATGTTCGTCCGCTCATCCGATGACCAACGTCTACACATCCAGTGACCAATTCCGCCCATCCAGTGACCTATGTCCCCCACGGGTGACCAAACCCGCAGCCAAGTAATTGTGTGACCACCGCCGTACCCAACCAACGACGACGTAGATCACCACTACCGACCCGATTAAATCCAAGTCTGGTCCGTGTATCGGGTGATCCGTTCCCGGTTCTAGTCCTGGCCGATCCGGGATCCAAACTAGGAACAGAACCGCCCGATTTGGTCCGTAAATGAGTGAATCGGGACCGAGTAACATGTTTGGGCGGATTATGGGCAGTCCCAGGCCCGAACCGGATTTTCCGAACTCAATTCGATGCCGAACAGTGTCTGACCAAGTTCCAGACCGGGCCGGGCCGCTGAGCAGGTTCACACCTAGATCCGCCTCTAACTAAATATCCTTAATTGTGTAAATGTATGAGATTCAATTCACAGATTCCTAAATCCGCTCCAAACTAAACATTCAATATGAGATTCACGAAACATTTGAGTTCAAAATTTTGAAAAACTATAGAAAAATATCAGATGTTTACAAAAATAAGCAAACATGTTCTTTCGTGTTCTATGCATCCAGACTTTGAGATTCATCTTATTTCAAATTAGGACTTTTAAAACAAAGAATGGTGTCCTTTCAGTAATCACCCTGACTATCATACACCTAGCAAACATATATGAGTGATGGGAAATCCTGATTGGGATGTGATGGGAATGCAAAAAAAAAAATTGTTTAAGGGCACTTTTGAGTTTGAGGTTAGTTTAGCCATGTATTATAGAGGCAGAAACTAAGACCAAGATTTAAGATGACATTAAAAAGGAATATATGAGGTTGAAAGTTTGTGATCAAATTGTAGTGAAATATAATCTTGGGAGACATGAAAATAAAAACAGGAGTTGGGTAATATGTTGAACAATCTATTGGGGAGGAGGCAGCTCCAAGCCTCCAAAACTACTAATCAACTCAAACAGCTAAAGTTTATATCCCCCAACTCACCTCTCAATCTCTCATGATATCCCAACCATCGCGGATAGGGATGGACTGGGCCGGGCCGGGCCGGCCCGGAACCGGCCCGGAACCGCTACTGTTTGGGCCCGGACCGGATCGGACCGGGGCCGGTTGGCCGGTTCCGGGCTTTTAGCCCGTTTGGGTGGGTCGAGTGGGCCGGGCTCGGGCCCAGTTTTGGGCGAACCGACCCGGGCGGTTCGGACCGGGCCCGGGTCATTTTTTTGTTTTTTCAATTTTTTTTTCTTTTCCTAGGGTAGGGCTGGGTGTTTTAGGGAGTGTTTGGAGGTGGGGGTGAGGGGGGGTCGGGGGATAACAAGAAAGCAAAAAAAAAAATAGACATTGACCCGGGCTCGGCCCGGGCCGGTTCCGGGCCCAACATTTTGCAAAAAAAGTCCGCCCAGGCCCGGCCCGGAACCGGAACCGGCCCGGCCCGGGTCTATCCCTAATCCCGGAGGTAATTTTTTAGTGTGGGCTTTCCCAATAACAAAAAATGTAAAATTGGAATTACTTTTTATGTTGTATTGACTAAAATTGTTTCTTCATATAATTCTTCTTTATTTTAGTAATAAACTACTCCCTCCGTCCCGCTAACAATCCACAAGAAAGAGTGACACACAAATTAATAAAAAATGGTTTATGTGATTGATATTGAACTGATAAAGTAAAAAATAAAGTAAAAATGATTTAAAGTCACACAAACTTTACAAAATTTGGTATGAGACAATCTTAATGAGACGAACCGATAAGCTAAAATGGGACAATTATAGCCGTATGAATGTAGTATATTTTAAATATAATCTTTTCATAAATAAACAAAAACAATCAATACAATCACTTTAGTCAAAACTTCATATAATTTAGAATTTCATCAGAATTTAGATATCCCCAATTTGAATTTGAGTGGAATTTATGAAAATAATGATGTTCTCAAACTTTTTTGTGAAATCTATGAAAATAATGATGTTCAAAAACTTTTTTGTGAAGTCTATGAAAATAATGATGTTCTCAAACATTTTTGGGGAATCTATGAAAATAATGATGTTTTCAAATGGATTTCTATTATTACTATTTCGATGTATTTTAATTGATTTTGTTGAATTTCTATATACTTCCTCCGTTCTTAAATAAGTGCAACAGTCAACATTTCACACTTGCCGAGACACAACTTTGATCATTAATATATATAATTCTCTATTAGTAAAAAAATTAAAAAAAGTAGTTTTTAAAAATTTACAATGAGACAAATTTAAGAATATATTTTTCAAAAAAATATATTAATGCATCAATAAATAAAATATAGTCAAAGTAGAACATGTAAATAATGCAAAATTTCACATGTTGCACTTATTTAAAAAGTGATGTAGTACAAAACATCTGACCACAAAATCTTGTAGGCACCTCGGAGATTTCAAAATCCATAATCTTTTAAAAGTTCAAAGTCAATAGTCAAGTCATAGTTGGGGACACCCCTAAATGGATGAGAGATCTAATGAGGGGAGGAATTGGGAATTTAAGACCATAACTCCACAAGTATAAAAAAACATGTTAGTTTATACTCGTATCTGAATAGCACACCTGCATTAGAAAATTCTCATCATCAAATTCAAAAGTATGACCACTTGGATGATAAAATTCTTAATTCTACAAGAACTGGGACAAAGCCAAGTCTCTCTAAACCCACAAATAACAAAGTAGTTGAAAATCAGAATCCTCCAAAGATATTACGACAGCAGTTTGTAGTAAAGATTGAAAGTACCCAGCCTACTATAAGTTAAACTCCCAAACAGTAGTGGGGACTGAAAATAGAATGAAATAGGCTGAGAGTTAAAGGACGAGAAGGAGGACAACTCAAACCGCCACTGCCTCATGGGTTCATTGAGCTCAAGCATGTCCTTCAGATCCACTGCTAGCAGCAACTGGTTCTGTTTCCTTGTTCTCTTCTTCAGTATCACTCTCATCATCTTCTTCATCACCATCATCTGTAGAACACACAACAATAGAATCGAGAGAAAGTTGATTTAGTTTGAGTGAAACGTGAGAGAAAAAAAGCTAACAAAAACAAGCTTTTAAATGCTTGTTTATATCATCCTCATCATTACTCTAGACCTACAAAGGCTCCCACCTACGGAGGGGAGTAAGGGGGTCAGATGTAGCCGATCTTACCCCTGTACTAAAGGGGGAGACTGGAAATGTTTCCAAATAACCCATACTGAAAATCGAGTCAAAATTGCATGGCCTGATTGCTACTACTTTATAACAGAGAAACGCGGACAGTTTAGTGAGTTTTTTGCTTTATTCCATCATATTCTAAAGTCAAAAAATAGCGAGTATTTGGCTACATTGCTGAATTTTAAACGCTTTTTTAACTAAAAAAATCAAATTTTGTTATAGTTCTGCATGTGTCTATTTCTTCGTATTAATATAATTCTATCTCCGTCTCAAAACTTTAACACTGACGTGATGATAAATATCCAATAATGCAGCAGGATTTATTTGGAAGACAGAGAAACAAGATGAACCATAAATTCCTTTCCTTCAAAGCAAGTGGAAATTAGCTTTTTTAGCCCATAACAAAAAATCGTGTTGGCAACATTTTAAGGGATAAAGCGGTCATAGAAATACATAAAATGAAAGGATTTTTAAAAGCAAAAGTAACCTATTGAGGTTAGGTACTTAGGTTAACCCATTTTCTTTCTCTGTGACTTTCTTTTTTCTTAATGGATCCTTAAATGGAAGAAGCTGCCTAAAATGCGTGGTCAAAGTGAGAATCAAAACTAAAGGTACTTGCCTCCTGCACCAGCACCGAAATCTGCACCAAAACCTCCAGGGCCACCGCCCATGTTAAGGCTCTGAAAGCAAAGAAGGCAGTGTTAAGGAATAAAGAAAGAAAAAGAATCCAATACGTACAAGATCACTT